AAGAGAAGGGAGATTTACCTAGGGTTTTCATCGGAGATGAGAGAGAGTCGTAAGAAGGAAGTTGAAAAATCACAAAAATGGTTCCATTTTCTTTAGTTTGAAAAAAAACGACGTGTAAAGAGGTTTAAGAGTTGGCATCATATAATTGGTCAGTTAATCCACGTAGAACGGTTGTCTTGCACGCGCTTATGGTCAACAGATGTCTGTGCAAAAAGTGTTAAAGTAACACATGGGAACCCTACGTTAGGTGTTTAAAATGAAAATCCTTCAGTTGAGGTGTCTAAGTGAAAGATCGTGCCAAGTTTAAGGGGCCACAGATGGGTTAGGCCTTAATTTATTCAATAAGAAAATGACATGTAACAAATAATAATAATAATATTTTTTTAAAAAGTAGCAGTTAATTTTAAGGGTAGAGATGGACCAAAAAGGTGGATGGAGGGGTATTTTTAGCCCAATAAATGAATGAGGGGTATTTTTAGACTTTTTCAAATAATTCAAGGGTATTTTTGGCCCTTTTCCGTTAAAAGAAATATAATGAAGCAAGCAAAACAAGAACTATTTGTACGACAAAGAGGAAATATGTGTACGTTTTTTGGGACACCAAACAAACAGTCTTTTCATCTTACAAAGAAAAAAGAACTTTCACTAAACCAATGAGAGGTATGTTTGGTAGCATATATAAAAATACATACAGTATATATTATGATTATCTCATTTGTTAAATTTTTTAAAGTTGTGTTTATTGATATTAAGATATGTATAATTAATATATGGAGATATATGATATTAGTAATATAAAGGATTTATGTACGTATTAGTATGATTAAATTCACAATTATCAGTTACAACATCCTATCCACTATATAAACTAAACACTCCATACAAAATACAATACATTAATCTCAGTATAGCTAGTATAAGCATTAATAATACACCATTCAATATTATTCCTATACACCCTACAAAATAATTTGTAAAATTATTTCGAGATTATAATACTGAGACCATTTAGCTAAAATAAAACGTAAATTCAATCTCCAACTTAATTGTAGATTGTATTATATTAGGGATAATACATATATTTGACCTTAAACTTGGCTTCAAATTTTAACTTTGACCTCCAACTTTCATAGTGCACAAATAGACACTTAAACTTGTATAAAGTTGAACAAATAGACACACATGACCTACATGGCATTTTTTGTCCTACGTGGTGTCCTACGTGTATTGTGCCATGTAGGACTCGTGTGTTTACTTGTTCTACTTTATACAAGTTTAAGTGTCTATTTTTGCACTATGAAAGTTGGAGGTCAAAGTTAAAATTTGAAGCCAAGTTTAAGGTCAAATATATGTATTATGCCAAATTTCTATGTAGGACGTCACGTAAGACAGATGTATCTATTTGTTCAATCTTATACAAGTGTAAGTGTCTACTTTTGCACACTCAAAGTTAGAGAACATAGATGTTAGATGAAACCAAATTGAATGGCAAATTTATGTATTATGTCATACACAAATAAACCCTTTAACTTGACTTCAACTGACATTTATGTCCTCCAACTTTGAGTGTGTACAAATAGCCACTTGCATAAAATGGAACAAGTAGATACACACTTCCTATGTGAAATAATACATGTAGGACGCCACATAGGACGCAAAATTGTCATGTAGGACGAATGTGTCTATTTGTTCAATTTTCTATAAGTTTAAGTGTCTACTTATGGACACTCAAAGTTGGGGGACATAGATGCCAGTTGAAGCCAAGCTAAATGACACGTTTATAAATTATGCCGGTTTCAAAAGTATTGCCCAACAAAATACTGATTTTTTTTTTAAAAATCTGAAAAATGGTTGCTTCATACCAAACAGACCCTTAGATTATTATGTTTAGTTGGTTTAGTTAGGGTCTCTTCATACCAAACAGACCCTTAGATTATTATATTTAGTTGGTTTAGTTAGGGTCAGAGATGTGGTTGCTGCTATATATAATCATCAATTGTACCCAAAATATATATTTTTTCACCAATAACCCTTAAGCTTTTATTTTAACTATAAAAATAAAATAAAATTTTGGAATTATGGATGACTAAATAGACATTAATCTTTCTTTCTCAATTAAACAGCTAGCCAAACAAGACAACAAGGGAAATTAGAAAATAGAAATTTTAAAATTTTATTGTTACGTTTTCAACCAATAATTTTATATCCCAACAACAAAAGTATATGAAGTAATAAGATATTAACATTAAAAAGAAAAAAAAATCTTGCTTCTGTTTGGGTCAACATAACACGTGAGATATTAACATTATAAAACAGATAAATTTATGTTTTTTTATTAATAAACATGTTTATGGTGGGCATTATATATCCTTTTTATAAATCATTTGGAACCGCTAACATAGACAAATTGTCATGTTGTTTATTTAGATTCTAGATGGCCGATCATTGTTGATTTTCATTACTATGCAAATACCAATATTAAATTAAATAGATTCACTTGGTAAAAAACATTTTTTTAGCAGTAATAAATATACACTTTTAACACTAAATTGACTGACATTGGTTAATTGTCATTAAATCTGATGTTAGTATAGGTTTTAGGAATATTTACAAAGAGTACTAATTGTTTTAGCGACAATTAAATTATTATTATTAATTAATTGCTGCTAGAAAATCATTTTTAATACAGTGATTATACAGGATTTTACGTATGATGAAATGCCATTGTTCTTACGTATTAAATTACGATTTCTTTTTTTCTTTTTGCACGTACGATATATAGCAAAATAACCCTCAAAATTAGATGTCACGTATACTGTTTATTCAATCATGTTTTTATATATTCAAATCCAAGTACTTTAGGCTCCAAAAGAAAGTACAATATATACTACAAATAAATGAATCTTAAGTTGAATATACTATCCTGATATCACAACAAAACAGTCTCATGCAAAATATGGATCTTTTAGACTATGGACTTGAGTTTCCCTTCGAGTAAATTAAATATCTTATAAGAAAATATTAGACTATAGATAACAAGCTAATGTTTTATCTGCAAGGTTGAACAATATACGAGTAAACATTAGACCCGTGGTCCAAAAAGAACAAATAAGCCCGTATTACATTCATAACACACAAAGCAACCACATAAAATAGTTCACTTAACCTTCCTTGCATTCACAACTTCAAGATTGCACAAAAAGTGAAGAAAATCATAAAAATGAGAGCGCTAATCCTATACTCTCTATATTGTTGCATCATGGTTTTTATTTCTTTTTTCCTTTTCCTTTACCTTTTCCTTTTCCCTTTTTGGAGTTGTTGAACTTGCCCTTCCCTTTTGGTTGTGGTGGCTGTGGCTGCTTCCTTTCAGTAGCCTTGTTACTGCTTTCGGAATCGGTGGCAGCCACAGACGGCAACACAATCTTCTCATCATCAACACACACTGTATTGCCTTTTTCCTTCTCTGTTGGTACAATGCATTGGTTCAATAAAGCTTCAATCTTGGGCTTTCTTGACAGCAAGCTCTTCAATAGTTGTTCAGCTTTTGCTACTTCCAAATTACTGTAAAGCATCAATGCAACATTTCATCATCAAGAGTTTTTATTCCAAAAAAAAGAGAGAAAGAAATGGAACTATTGCCTCAACACACTTAAAAATGTATGTGTAAGCGTGACAACAAGTTGTTGGAACAAAACATGGGTTAATAGGATGACAACAATGACATACCAGTTTAATCACACAAGTGAGGTCTAGGGAGGGTGGTATGTATGCAGCCTTACCCCTTACATTGTGGAGGTAGAACAGCCTTACCCCTTACGTTGTGAAGGTAGAGATGTTGTTTCCGATAGGACATTACATAAAAGAAAAGGGCTCAAGAAAGGATTACATCAGGAGCTAAAGCCATAGTTCCTAAGATGGAATGCTTTTAGCATGAAAGAAACTTTTCGAAATGGATATATTTTGAACGTCCTAAACAACTTTGGAAGTGTACATCTAAACAAGAGCGGCCTATAAATGCAAGTAGCACGATGGTAAGAAAGAATCATACCTCATATCCAAAAATGAATGGAGCTGTTGCAGCTCTTGAAGCATACGTTGCACTTCCTCAGCCATGTCCTCACCAGCGTCAGGCTTCTTCAGCTCAGGCAGAGTAATGGCAGCAGTCAAGAACTTTATGTGCATATTTATTTCCTCCTAAAAAAAAATAAGTTTAGTACCTTAATAATAATAATTCATAAACAGACACTCAAACTTGGCCACTGCGGGCAAGTAAGCACTCCAACATTGAGAGTCACGTCTAGAGACATTAACTCGGTCACATAAGTAAACACTCCAACTCTTTCCCACTATGTCTCATGGACACCTGACACTACGTGACATATAAATTTTGGAGATGCATGTGTAGATTATCATTTTGTAAGTTGAGTGTTCAACTGACACAGTGGAATCAATTTGAGTTGAGGCGTTTAGATGTACACTTCAAAGTCGGAGTTCTTTACTTGCCGTCTAAAGGCCAGGTTGAGTGTCTATTTACGCGTATTATGCCTAATAGTACTGTAATAATTTAATCCTTACCTAGCAGACACCTTTACAAGTTCCAAGTTATAATTAAAGAGAACTAGGATTACCTTCATCTTCTGAACGACAGCCGAGATAGGTCCATTGTTTTCACTGCCAATAAGCTTCAAAAAATCAGATACTTCTTGAAACAAGTCCCAATTCACTTGTTGCAGATTCTGCTCCGATGGAGGAGAGACTTCAGAACATGGCACTGTCAAAATCTTTGGTTGGTCAGAACAATCCGAGGAAGAAGTAGCATCCAGATTAGCCATGACATCAGAAACTGTGGAATTAGGAGCTTGTGACTCATTTCTAGCCGGAAACAGCAAGTCAAAAATGTCTTCTGTATTGCAGTTTTTTCCCAACTGCACATGAATGACATTAGGAAGCTTTCTGGTGGTATTCTCACGCAGGTTAACACACAAAAGAGGATCTCCAGCAATTTGAAATGCTTCCCCGATTTCACTGATCTGGAAGTACCTCCGCTTCAAACATGGAAAAAGAATGCCATAAAAATACTTTGGAAGCTGGTTCCTAACATCATTGTTTCTGAGCACACAGGAAAGAACATCATAGTATTTCCCACTGTTCACACACAGCAAACATAGGACAACAACCAATCTCATAACCAATACCCTATAGTATGCCTCAAAATTTATCCCCGATCGTGTAATCCAAAGAGCTGTATTGCCTTTATTGGAAAGGAATTGTTGTACCATCGTAAGAACAGAATGATAAAACTTTTCCAAAGACTGTTGGTTAATAATAGCAACCTTGGAAGTGTGTAGGACCTCAGACTGCTCAGAAATCAGCCATTCCACCAATGATGATTTTGTAGTGAAAAAGGACCCTTTAGACCGTGACACCAAAATCAAAAAGCGCTCAACAAGATACAAGAAACAACCAGGGGAGATATAGTCACTTAGTCTGCTCCAGTTCACATTATAGGTATCTTGTAATGCTTCATAAAATTTCTCAACTAATGTAACCTCCATAGCTTCACTTCGAACAATATCTTTAGCTAAACGAGACTCGGAAATTTTGCCTCCACAAGCATTGCCTGATTGATATTCTTCCATTTTTGTCGCTCTAATGCAGCTGAGAATTTCCATGAATGATTTCCATGATTCTGTTGGAGCTCTTCCAACAATTTTCTTGTACAAATCTTCAGATAGTTTTCCGGAGGCAAGCCATATGATCATCACTCTTCCAATCTGTCCATAGCTCAAAGGACCTCTGGTGTTAATATCTTGGTGGATGAATTCTTGCAACAAGTCACGGGAAAGCTCGGTTCTCCTTAGAGAAATGATATTCTCCATCAACGATTGTCGGGGGTCAAGGGGGAAGGCTATCTCAAAGTATTTTGTTGACAGTGTCAAGAAATTCCGTAGTTTCCACTGAGAACTCTTAGAATCAAGCTCCTTGGACTCACTTAAAAATTTAGCAATCTCATATATGTTTAGAAGGAAAATGCTTTGCCGGAAATGAGACATTGAAGTTGCAGCCGACTTATAGATGGACTCGAGAGTATCCAGAACCTTCAAGCCAACAATAAGTAATTCGGTATGCCAGTGTTGTCGAGCAGCATAAATAAAATCCCGAGCATCAACAAATACAATCTTTTTGCTCCGTCGGATGAAGCTTTGGTGAATTTTTTTCACCCATTCAGCAGCAGGATGCAACAGTGCATATGTAACATTAAGATCATTCAATTGCTGCCTAGCACCAAAGTAATTTACGCAGAAATTACATAAGATGTTATACTTTCCGAAGTGTTCAATCTCAAGGCCCTGGAGAGATTCTATCAGATCAAAGATGGTCTGCTTCCACAAATTCCAAAAGTGAAGCAGTGTCCTTACACTAACTCGGCTGCATAAAACCAATTCTTCTGAACTCATCACATTGGCTGATAAATTATCATCCCAAATATACTTTGCCACGTTAGTTTCACAATGAACATCCAGTATTTTTCTACAACTCAAAATTTCACCGATTGGACTGTTACATTTCTGAGACGCGACATAAACGTGCTTCAAGCCAGACCAATCACTTGACTCGTTTGATAAAACTTTAACCACAGTGCACGTGGTTTCAGAATTGGATCCATGCATTGCAAACGACATGGCCTTTTCCAAAAGTTCCTTCTTTTCGGAAAATGACTGCAAAGGCCAGCCTTTACCTCCTGAGATCCACAGAGAGTTAGAGAGAACATAAAGAAGAACAAGTGACGAAGCCTTGTCAAAATCCCCATCCTTTGCTGTTATATCTGCTTCACGAAGAATATTCCCTTCCAGCCGGGCAATTTCTGCAGCTTCAGTGAAGTTCCCTAACTCTTCTTCTAACAACAGCAACTCATCAAGGCACCCCAGAGACTTCAACAAATTGCGTTTCATGTCAATTCTAGGGAATGCTTTCACAAATCTCATCATGGAAACTCGGTCGTTGAGCTCAAAATAATGTAACGCGCAATTGCTCAGGAACTCCTCCTCCATTTTGTCAATTTCAGTCTCTCTTTCCCCCACTGTATTACACTGAGCAGCATCGTGTTTCCAGTACTCAACATATTCCAAACCCAATTCAAAACACTTTCCTTTGGTGCAAACTGATAAGCACTCTGAGAAATGACTGCCTTTTGCATAAACTCTGGCAGCCTGCTCATAGCATCCAGCCAGTGTAAAACACTCGGCGGCTTTAATCAGCTCAGGTTTTCCACACTTCTCCAAATAAATTTGTCCTGCGGGTAAGTTTAGAAAGTTAAGAAAACGATCAAAAAACAACATTATTTAGTCATGATGTAAGGTTACAGTGATGGAAAGCAAGACCAGGAAAAGATTCTCCAGTCATCAACTCAGAACACCAAAAGAAGAATGTGAGTGAAGTAAAAAGTCCATGGAGGTTCTTTTTTTATGACATAGAAATCTGTCTAGAGCAAAACCTTTGGGCCAACCATATTCTTCTCCACTTAATACTAGACATAGTTCATTTAGCACAAGACTCGAACTTAAATAAGTCACTCGAGGTCTACCTAGCATAGCAGTACAGTTCATTATTACTAACAGAAATGTTCTGAGATGTATATAACTAGAGCTCAAAATTGGATACAAGTATCTGATAATCCCTCCGTTTCAATTTGTTTGTCTGGATTTTGACTTGGCACAAAGTTTAAGGAAGTAAAGAAGACAAAAAAATAATTGAAAATGGAGGTAGTAAATGGAAATGAAGAAATGTTCTAATAAAACACTAGAAAATGCCTAACAAAGAAGGAACTCTTGAGAAAGTAAACACCAATATTACCTGCCCGTTTATACTCCCTCAAATCATAAAAACATTCGGCTGCTGCCTCGAACCTTCCTATCGAGACAAAAATTTTAGCCGCCTGACGTAGGTAGGTGGAAGATTCTTTGGAATTCGAATCACGAATTCTCTCAGCAGCTGCCCTGAATCCAGCTGCCTTTGCCCTTTTCTCCCAATTCCTTTCTCCTGCTTTTTCAAAGCACATGATTGCCATCTCATAATTCTTTTCCCAAAAGAGCTGCATGATAACATCACAGCACTTGATCAGGACCAATTAATGCTCATATGTAAAGCAACACAAGAGAGAGATTTGAAAAAATGAATTTGTTAATAGAAATGAGACTAGGCAAATCAACTGGACAAACCTTCACTCCCCTCGACTTCCACTCCTCCGGAGTGCTAGAAGTTTGCATTGCTTGTGCAAGTGAATCATCTATCTCCCTTGTTTCCACTAGACACAATCCTCTCCAATAATCAAACATAGGCTTGGAAAATTCCTCGACACTCTCACAAATCCATAACCTTTGTCTTGTTCGAGTGATGGCAACATAAAGCTGTTTTAGTTCAGAACACAATAGACTATGTCGTTCTTCACAGAAATTTGGGCAGGATATATCTACTACACCTTTTCCTTTCATAAACTCATATACCACTCTCCACTGATTTCTAAGTGGTGATGACCCGAAAAAATTGTACAGCAGTACATCCTGCAAAAGATCAAAGAAGGAAATAAGATGATAAAGGTAAAGCTATCAACCAGTAGATGGGATGGGTAAATGAAGCAGTAATATCGAATATCATTTAAAACCTAGGCTACACATAAATATGTTGAATATCATTAAAAAGAAAACAAATTTGATTGATACTAACAATTGAAATCCCAAGAATAATAATTAAGCAAATTTATGACTTGCCTGAAATTCCAAACCCTTGCATTCAACAATAGTCAAAATAAGTGCTTGCCTTCCAATATAACCGGAGATTTCCTTCTTCGCAGATTCATCCCGCACTAAGATTACCTGCTCTGCACCAAAACCTATCATTTTTTCTCCAATACTTCCAGTATTCCCAAAAATAGTTAGAATTGCATTTTCATCAGCTCCGGGCTTCAACAATACCGGAGCCTCACCATAAATAAGACTTGTTTCAGGTTTCAAGAAATCAACAGAGTGAGGGAAATAATGACAAAGCAAATCAACTACACTCTGTGCTAGTTTGAGTACACCGGCATGTGTCCGGAAGTTCTGAAGCAACTGAAAAACAGGTGATAGATGTCCCTTGTCTTTTCTAAGGGAAACATCATCACCCTTTGAATCCATGACAAACTCGGTATAGAATAGATTCCTAATGTCTTCAAACCTGAAATCTATCCCCCTAGCAATTGTTTGTGCTGTATCACCAGAGAAAACAAATCCTTCTTCGACATTTCTACAAATATATTTGAACAACGCTATCTGTCTCATTGTGAGATCTTGAACTTCATCAATATACACAAAATCTACTTTGTCACCATCGAGATGCTGATACTTTAGCCGACTATGAAGATCATTAACCAAATCAGCTATATCATATTCAGCACGCTCCATCTTCATCTTTTCATAATCCTGAAAAATACCATATATTCTATCTCTTTTTTCTGCACTTATCGAAGAGACTCGATGTTCGGACATTGATATATAAGCCTCTTTGCTGAGTTTATATCGAAGAGACTCGATGTTCGGACATTGAAATATAAGCCTCTTTGCTGAGTTTCCCATCATGAAAATCTCCTGATTTTAATCCACCTTTTATATAAGAAAGAATTTCAGTAAACACCCTTGAATGATCAAGATTTTTCGTCAACACAGTACTGAAGTGAGGCCAATACGAGCTACAGAAGCATTCGTAGTTGACCTCCTTCTCTCTTATGAAGGATCTTAAAGCAGCTGACCTCAAACTTCTGTCTTCAAACAGGTCCCACTTCAAATGGAACCTATCAAAGTAGGAAGAACCTATTGTTCCGTCAAGCATCAATAAGAACTTGTGAAATGTGATCACAAGAGGGTATTTCATGTAAGGAATGCCAATAAAAGAGTTCGGTAAATCTCTAAACTGTGTCGTCCCATCCAAATCATCAATTTCAAGCAAGCTGTTCTCTGCTGAGAAACTTCCACCACAAGCAAAGCTGCAAAATTAAGATTGCACACCTCTAAATTGGATAAAATTAAAAACTTGGTTGAAGTTTGTAGCCACAACACAAACTCTATTTGATGAAAAACATGTCCGAACTAGTAAATCATAATCACATAAAAAAAAAAAGCAGGTAGAAATGTGAAAACCTACGACTCCACCAGCTACAAATCATTCAAAACTTGCTCACCATATTGTCAATTTTATGGAAAGAGTTGTTATCATGTGAATACCTTAACTACCTACCTGCATTCCTACTTGTTTATAAAGCTAAGAGAAATTCGGAAATGCAAATACTATGTGTTAGTAGAGGTTAAGAACACCGACTTTTACAGGTTGCAATTTGACAATATAAGATTTAGGTAGGTCACACAGCAGCACATGTTTTCAAAATATAAAAGGCAGCACTAAATCAATTAAACTTCATTCCGAATATCAATAACCATGGCATCTAGCTCTCATTAGACATATGCAAATACAAAACAAGCAAGCATATAATTAATTGTTACGAACTGTTTTAATAACCTAGAAATCTAGATGGCCAGTGGCGCACTGAGTAAAACTCGGTGGAGAATGGGCCACCCTCCAGTCCTCCGCCCTTCTTAACTTAAGGACCAGGTGGGGTTCAAACCCCTGACGCACGCCTAGACGACATCACACTTTGCGCTCTTACCCCTAGACCAAAGCCCTAAAGCTATAACTAAATGTTCCATAATTGCAAGTACATATGATACAACGGAGATTATTTTCCAATATTAAAACATTACACTTTAGTTCAAGGTTTCATTAGTCATCAAGGATCAAGCATGCAACTTATTAAAGCAAGCAGCTCCAGTAAACTCGGACAACAAGATTAGAACTCACCTTTTCAACTGAGAAATCTGCTGTTTGACAGCATAACAAAGTTTTGGACTAACAGTCACGAAAAGTTGACGCAGGGTTTCCCTGATAGCCTCTCCTACACATTGATTATCCTCATCTGCTTCCCCTTCAAATTGATTTACTTCTTGCTTCCCTGCTTTATTTAATCCTTCAACAGAATTGTGATGTTGTTGCTCCTTTTGCAATAATTTCATGGTCAAAACTGTGGTTTTCCCCGTGCCTGAGCGACCAAGGATGAAACTGCTTCTACTAAATTGGATTATCTCCCTCTCTTCATTAGTAACTTCAAAAGGGAGATCTAATGCTTCACCATGGTGATCAGAGAGCAAATGATTGACAACACCAGATGATAATGAGTAAAACTTCATCAATAACAAGCTTTCGCTGACTCTTGAATATTCAACACAACTTCTACCATCTTCCGCACCAGTTGATTCATGATTCAATTGACTCTCACTAGAAATGCTTTTATACTGACTTATCTCACGACAAAGCATCCAAATCTTCGGAACTTCCAAGTCCCTGTACAAACATGAGAAGGTTAAAATAAAATTTACAAGAAGCAATTGTCGTTCATCGTAATACTTGAATCTACAGAGCACAAAAGAATTAGTTTACCCCTCAAGGCACTTCTCCTTGCAAAGCTTAATGAATTCATCAGTGTACATTGAAAATATGTTATCAAGACGTTTCAACAACTTTGCAACCTCCTCCAAGGGTAATACATCCCAAACCCTCAGCACTTGAGTATAGGTGGAGTCTTTCTGAATATAAATAGAGCAAACAACATACCGCCCTTCAACCTTAAATTGTTGTACAATTTGAGATGAGCTCTCAGAAATTGAATCCACATTCTTTCTCTTGGGACGCCATCCACTGGCCAGCTTAACCAGAAGACTTATCACAGACTTCCTCAACCGGGAGGATGTTAGCTTTACAAATGACTTTCTAAAATTGTCACTGAAGAGTACCTGAGCAACCATGCGGAAGAAAATACATCATGATGGCCAAGTAAACTCACAAGTACAGGAATCATGTATTTATGTGTGACAAATAATACTGACCAAAGTTTAGCACCTTCAATGAGTGAAGCAGACACTAAGAAAGAACAAACTTATAAAATGGACAAAGACAGATGTTTGCCGTTGACTATAACTGATGCAAGTAGAACACACAAAACTTAGAATTATAGGTGCACCGGGCCAGGAGCAAGTGTCGTGGTAATGCTAATGCAAGACGACACTTTAGATGTGAAGCACAATTGTTCCAAATAAGGAAGTAAACCATAAGAAAAACAGCATGCATAACTCATTAATGTATCAAAAGTTTAACATAAAACAGCCATATGCAACCTTTGGACTGTATCTATGTGAGTGACACAATTCTAAAATTTACAAAGCAAGAGAACTAAAGCACAAGATTTTACCTTCCATCGTTGAGATTTGAACAAAATACTGTCTGCATTAAGTAAATCATCCAGCTGATCATATTCTTTCTTAACATCTAAAACTGTTGTCCTCATGTCATTGTCTTCATCAGCATGAAAGAAGCATTGACGTTCCTTGGCGTCCAGAACTAATGCTTCCCACACAGAGTTGCTATTAAGTAATGTTGGCTCATTGCCAAGAATCCATAGACAGTGCCTACCAAGAATAAAACCCTGAAATGTCAGCATAGAAGAATAAAGATCTAGATGTCATGAAACAGCGACAAAGATTGATCCATACCGAGCCCTGGTCAAAGCAACATTAGCCCTTTGAAGACTAGACAAGAAACCAATTGATCCGCCTAAATTAGATCTCACTGTAGATATTATAATGATATCTTCCTCCCCTCCCTGAAATCCATCTACTGACTTCACCTTAACTTCAAAACCCTCAAGGTTATCATACCTCCGCCCAAGTTTACCTTTTATAGCCAAAACTTGTGCAGCATAAGGTGATATAACACCAATGCTGAGTTTCTTCCTGGAGCCACCCCAACCTGTGTAGAAGAAGATAACAAAAACTAAAATTAAAAACTGGAAAAGCATTTAAGCTACAAAGAACCTCCTACTCATGCAAAACCGACAATAATAACATACCCAGTGTCATTGCACAACTGGGGTCTGGGGAAGGTAGGATGTATGTTACCCCTACATTTGTGGGGTAGAGAGGCAGTCGTCACAATTAAACATTAATTAAGAGAGCACAAACTTGATATTTGAAAGAGTGTGGTCGTCACAAGCAAATCAAGTTGTTGCACATCACTCAATCAAGTTTTCTAGTGGAGATTTTGTAATCAAAGACTCGATGACACAAGCCCAAATACAAAATTTGGGTCAGAAGCAATAACATCACAATAATGAATAAACCCAGTATAATCCCATAAGTGGGGTCTGGGGAGTGTGGAGTGTACGCAGAACTTACACCTAAATTTGGGATTAAATCATTCCCTTCAATACCCTGATACACCTATCGGTGCCATCTTACATCATCTTTTGAACAAGAAAAAAATTATCATTGATTTCAAGTTTAAAGGCAAAAGGGCATTTCAGGAAATATTCTAACCATAAAATAGTACCTTTATACAAGTTGTCCACTATCTTCATCACTAAAGCCACCTCAACCATATTCCTTCGGCTATGTCCAACATCATCCATTTCTTCTTTACCCAATGGAACATTTATAAAGGAATACGGGCCAAAACATTTTCCTGGAAGATACCTTTTCTCATATGTTTTATGTTTTACATCAGGGGCATCACAAATTTGATTACGATAGAAACTTGAATTTGGAAATTGGCTAATTGATGGATGCATTCGGTACTGTATGTTAAGCAAGTGTCTAGAATGACCCAGAGAACTGAGTCTTTCAAAAAGGCTCCTTCCAAAGCCAGCTTCTTCAGAAACCTGTAGAGTAACAAAATTGTGTAAAAAGAAGTTATAGTGACAAGATATCAGTTGAACTTGCAATTCCTTTAAATTCCACACGTGAAAGGCAGCAAACTTACTCGACTCATGACTGCTGCGGGCAGTTGACACTCATCGCCCATCAACACAGTATGCCTCAGACATGGTAGTTGAAAGGGTATGACAGATTCACACTCCTTCAACTGGGCAGCTTCATCAACAATTAATAAGTCAAATGGCTTTATATCCAGTGGATGAAGCTTATACGAACTTGAAGCCGTACAGAAAACCAAGGAAGCCTTTTGTATACAGAACTCCCTAATCGACTCCTTGCTCATTGCACGAGGAAGACTCAGTTCTCCGAGAGATTGGCAAATATCTTTCAGAAGAAATAGGCACTGGCTTCTTAAACAAGGTAAGGACCACTCATCCAAAAATGAGTCGGAAGAGACTTCAATTGGTTGTTGACAAGAGAAGAGTTGCACAAGATCTTTAGAGCCAAGATTGTCTTGAAATAACATTCCCTCCAAACAATCAAGTAGGGAGATAAGGCGTACCATTTTTTCAAAATTCTCCTCCCGAATAAAACTTAATGGTAGATGAGTACAGAATGTAAGCAAGCATCTTCTCAAAGATGAAGCTGTAGATTTGAACCGGGATTTGACAAAATCAATCAATGAGCTGATTTTTTCTTTTTCCTTCTGAGCTTCCTGTTGATCAGAAAGCTCCTTCAGTTTGATCAACTCATTGTCAACATATATGTTATACTGAGAAATGCAATCTTCCAGACACCCGCTCATGGAACTTATACAGTGTTTCCAACCAGTCACGGGTACGAGGCACTCCACCAGCCTATCAACACGATAATCAAGGTATATCTCCTCAATATCTTGACCAACTTTCAGACGGTACTTATTCCCAAACAAGAGAATGTCACCCAGAGGACAAATATCCATTTCTGCAGAAGGATTATTAAATGACTCACTGATCAATTTAACTAACCGCGAAGCCACTTGTGTTATTGCTACATTTGTTGGGGCACAAGTAAGAGTTCTATACTTCATTTTCAATAGTATGAAGAGCATGACACTCATAGTCTTGGTCTTGCCTGTACCAGGTGGTCCCCATATGAGTTCAACTGAAGGCTTGTGACAACACTTCAATGAATCAAGAGAGGTCAAGATCGCCTCAGCCTGCGAATCATTCAACTTAGACAGCAGATTATTAACAACTTCTCCAGATAGTCCATCATTATTAGATGTAGAACAAACGTCACATTTATCCTCATCCTGTTTCTGCACACAAACAAGTGTCTTTTCATTCACAAAATGAACCAAGTGAACAGATGTTGATAACAGGAAAAGACAAGCATACAGTCCAAATCCATATATCTAAGGAACGAAAACAGCCGTTGAGGCTGCATGTGGAAAGAAAGAGCATGTTTCAGGTTTTGAGGAACACATAGTATTCCTTTTGAGGTCTGAACGAAAAGTATTGATATTAAGTTATCGAAACCATACACTGAGAGACTAGGCGTACAGTAGAGCATAAATTGTTTTTAACAGCTTAAGGGCACACATCACATTGCTTTTCATTGTTTAAGAGTACATATTTTCTAAAATAAAGAGTAAAGGTTTAGAATAAGAAAAATGCAAGAAAGGTCAGTCATTTCCGACACAAGAGACCAGTGAATCTACATTACATTTCTTAGACAAAAACACAAATTTGAAAACTAACCATCAATAAAAAGATGAAACTTATTAAAGGGTATCATACAACTGTTGTAAATCGAAGAAGATAAATATTACTTAGCATTACAGTAATATTATCACAAGCAACACGTAACTTTTATAAGCATACATACACTGCCATTTTTGTCTTTCATTTCTAAAAGAATGCTAATGTCATCTCTGTTATGTATTTTGTTCAGTCACACTTGAGAAACCAGATGACCATCACACATTAACTTGAAATATAATCTCATCGATCACTTCACACCTACGAGGCATCTAAAAGGTACTAACATATTGTACTTTATTATTGCAGCCAAATATCAGAACCTATGTTGCTCAGACTCTAAAAATGTTGTCATGCCCATGTTAGATCCTTCAAAAATGCACTACCTTTGGAGGATCCAACATGCACCTGGCAGCATTCTTGAAGAGCCCGAGCAACATATAAAAAAATAAGGGATACCACGTTTGTTGATGATCTAGGATATATTAAGTACGTTAAAAGGCAGGGAGACTCTAGATGATGCTTCTAAAAGGACATGAATCAGTAAGATTATTTACCTCATTCTCACTGCACAGAACTTTCTCAATAAGGTTCAAATTCTTTCTCATCCTCAGTGCACTCCATACTCTCTTACTCGGTAGCACATTTACCAAATACACTATATACAACGATTTTTGCTTTCTCTCAGAAATCACAATATCTCTAGCAACTTTGACTGTAAAACTAGTGGATGCATTTGAATCATCACTCTCACCATCACTGACTCTCGTTACAAATGCAAATGTCCAGTTCCATCCGAGCCGTAGCAGGTCAGAAGCAGTTTCCGGTTTGGCATCTGAGATAATGACAATATCTCCAGGCAACGTTCGATAAGGCTCCTTTCCGTCACCAGATAGTTTCCTCCAATAGTCAACCTGAACTTTAAAAAATAGTGATCCAAGTGGTTTCTCATCAAAGTAGATCAATTCACCAAAAGGTGCTTTGTCTATGACTTCCAAAGAAGCACTAATATCAGCCCGTATTTCTTCCAGTAACGAGTAGTGAAACGATCCCAAGTAATGATCGACTGATTCAAATGATTTTGGAATCTTCTCCACCTACAAAACAGGAAACTTCCAATTAAATGAGAAACAAATAACTTGTTCTGGCATTGTGGGAAGCAATGCATTTCATTAACTAGTTGGCAGCAATAATATTTTGTTTACGGCCAAAATGCTTTGATAAATACACCATTTACATGGGAGTAAACAACCAACTCATTTTCCCTTTAGAGCTCCAAAGCAATCAAATCTTTCAAAGAAAAACGGAGAACTGACTCTGATACATGTAAAGATGACACATGAGCCTAACTCAACCCCAAAAGCTAGCTCATGAAAAGAGGATTTCCTAATCTCATATAAGAAGACCACCAGTTCATACATAAGCCAATGTGGGACTCTAACCAACTCTAACTCTTAAAAATGAGAAACCACCCCCATACCTTACCCCCATTCTCTATGGTGTTTGATTAGATTATATACAAGTACTTTTGAAATAATATTTTCTGCTTATGACAAATAAGAAAATCACTTATTTCCCCCCAAAAAAAACATTTCCAAATAAATATATATTTTTGTGAAAAGCATTTTCCTTCATATGACCAAACACAATATATCCTTAGAGAAAAATAATCAAAACATATTGAGTTCTTCGACATTTCAAATGATATTTCTCTCTATCCTTTCTTTCACTAAAACAGTAGATGAGTGACAAAACTATCAAAAATCAAGAATATCATAGGGAAAAAATGTGGAAATAAGAGACTGATGCAACTTCATGAAGGTTATATAACATCTAGGAAAAATCCTTCTTTCCAAATTGCAAACAAAACATTGTGCAAAACATCAAAAAACAACATATATACACAGTGTAGTGGGGTCTGGAAAGGATAGAGTGTATGCAGACTTATCCTACCTCGAGGCAGAGAAGTTGTTTTCGAAAAATGCTCAACTCATGAGTCATGTGCAATGCAAAACATCAAATATGCAACATTCTCAATAATTTTGACAATAAGTTTCCCAATCACTGAACTTCATAGGCTACTAAAATGCAAAAAAAAATTGTTGGTCATAATGAGCCTACAATCATGAAGTGGAAATTATTAAAAAAAAAAAAAAAAAATCTCTATTCCATTCTATAGAGAAATAATCCCCCTTTTTAATAGTTGAAAACATATCCTCTTTTTTTTTTTCTACCGTTTCAGCTTTTCACCTGGCATGTCTAAGATCAAAATATTCATACACATTCTAGTACATTCTACGAATCTTTAGCTAAACACCATAACATTCAAAAGTTTTGTACTTTCTTAAATTTCGTGTCAAGTCAAAATCAAACAAACAGACAGTACTGAACTCTTTCAAGATCACTTCTAAACCAAAATAAGTAACCAAAAAAAGAAAAAAAATACCTGATTTTGATATAGAGTATCATCAAGAATATCTTGTATAGACCATGAGAAGACCAAATCAATGAAGTCATCTTTAGTTCCTCCTTTCTTTTTCCTAGAATTACTTCCTTCCATACTTTAATCACTCAAAAGAAATCTTCACCTAGTGTGCCCAAAAAACTAAAATAAATAGATGAAGTCTTCATCATGAAGTTAAAAAAAAAAAAAAAAACAATCAACTTTAACAATATGTACGTACCAATAAAAAGCTAGCTACTAGCAATATTAGTCAATAAAAAGATGAGATGATCAAATTAACTTTGTCTCTTTTTTCAAAGTTAAAAAGAAATATAATGAAGCAAGCAAAACAAGAATTATTTGTACGACAAAGAGGAAAAGGTGCTATAGAGATAATGTGTACGTTTTTTGGGAAATGAAAGAGGCGGTCTTTTCATCTTCTGCAACAAAAAAAAAATGTAAGTTTCACTAATCCAGTGAGGGTATTTTGGTTCGCGGACTAAATTATAGTACTGAGAGATAAATTTAACTTCGAACTTAATCGTAGGTGTTTCATATTATTTCATGGATCAAACAACCTTTGAATATTGTATATGTTTATTTTTACATGTAATTTTTCTTAATTATGATTAGTTTATATATACTTTCATATTAGTAAAGTTATTTTATGATTATATACAGTAATTAGCAAAAAGTGATAAAATATTTATTGATGAACTTACATAAATCTTATTAGTTTAGAACATAATTATTTAGGTACACTCTAGGTTGTAATAGTACGTATTTTATCAGATTTTGGTGCCTCCAGATACGTCCAGATACATGTATCGATACATAAGATCAAATTTAAGTGTAATTTGTTCTAAATACATTATATTCAAGTGGTTTATTATTGTTTCTACGGTTTAGATCAAGTGAAGATCTGGAATTTTAATGTTTGGAAGACTAGAGTTTATAGTCTTTGAAGTGTCTATCAATTGCAGAAAACTATTGAGTTGAGGTATTAAAATTAGTCTCTTTGATTATCGAGTTGTAATTCAAAATCGTCCTTTTGAAATTAGTGAAGTTTCTCTTATTTAAAGAACCTGGTTCCTTTAGATAGTAAATTAGTAATGAACTACTTCATGGTTACGTAAGATGAAGGGTGTTATAGTATTTCATCCATATTATATTCATGATACCTATTGATATTTCTCAATTCAATCATAATTATAGAGGTATTCAGAATTATATTGGTAAGATATAAAATTAAAAAAAATTATCTTCCTTTTTACGTGATTTCTAGTCAATCTCATATTTCATATTAATATAATTAATATAATTTATAATGAGCTATGTAACGTCATATATTTTATTGTAACTTTATATTGTTTTGGACTGTTTTTCTCTTGATCTGAGGGTCCAACAAAAATAGCTTATTTACTCAGATAGAGATACGATCTGATCTGCTTACATTTTACTCTCTCTATAGCTCATTTTATGGGATTACACTATGTTATCGTCGTTGTTGCATACATTATGTGAACTTATAAAGATTTGAAGACAATGATTTGTTACTTGATTTTGAAACTCCAGAAAATTTTTGAACCTCATAAATCATTTCTTGATTTTAAATTTATAAGTGTCTGAAGTTCTCGATTCATTTTTTGGTTTTGAAACTCTAATAATTCTTTAACCCCATAATGGTTTATTGGTTTAAAACTTGTAAAAGTTTAAATCCATGATTTTTTCTCACTTCCTTGATTTTGAATTTATAATTAAAGGTTTGAACGTTGTAATTTAGTTAAGAATATGTTTATTATTAATAACTTTTAAAGTAATGATTAATACTTCCTCCGTCCAACAATACTTATTCACTATTTTTTAGAAAAATTATAAATAGAAGGGTATTTTTACTATATCGCCATTTGAATATAATAAAAATAATGTCTTGAAAAATGTAATAGAGAAATGACTATAATTAAAATGATAAGGGTAAATTAGGAACTAAATGTAAAATTATGCATTTATTTCATAAAGCGGACAAGTATTGTTGAACATCCTAAAATTATATAGTGAACAACTATTGTTGAACGGAGGAAGTATTTGATGACAACAGTTAAATACCCACTTCATCCTGATCTCCTCAGATAGATAAAATGATTGTTATTTTTGGACGCCTAAAATTAATTTAATTTCTTTACTTATACTCTCACTTTAACTATTTTCGAAATCATGAATAATATAAATACTTCTATTATCCATCAATGAACCCCTTTTTTATTTATATTATTAAATATAAACAGATAAAATATTATTATTATTTTTTTAAACTTATTTTCAATCCGTACAAATCCGATTCTAGTCGTTTGCAATCGTCAGTATTCAAGTCGTAGACTGGAGTTAAAGATACATTCAAAATTCAAATTGGAAGACAATTCAAAAGTTGACAAGTCAACATATGACTGCTGGACTACCCACTTATTGCCATAAATATTTTTTATCAATTTCTCAACAAAAAAAAAACTCAAATTATTTTTAAAAATATGTTTTTTTTTTTTCAACTCGTAATTTTAATTTTCCGTGTGACATACTTAAGATCACGTAATAAAAAAAAAACATTTTTCTATGTTCTACTTATCTTTAATTTAACATCACAAAATTTAGTTATGTTAAAATTAGACAAATAAATTAAAACGAAACGAGCATTACGTACTCCTTTCTGGAAGCTTGTCAGGAAAGAAGTCAAAATATTCCAAATTGCTTACAAACTACAAAGTCTCCCATACTCAAATGAATTGGTCAAAACACGTCTAAAATACCAACACCACTATAAAAAGTTGTATCTCAAAGTTAACAAATCCATCATTTTTTCTTCTTCTTATTATCATTCTTGAACAACAACACTTACCTCTTGTGTTCACATTTTCGAGATACAACTTCCGTCCTGTAACTCCTTCCATCGATAGTCTTGAGTTGTTTGAAAAAACTCGAACAAGGATATCAACATGGAGGTTCTCCTTTCCAATGAAACCAATATCACTGCAAAGTCACCACTTGTTAGCAGAACCAACAAGCCAGAGAAGAGATGTAGTAAGTTTCCAGCATCACCAAGGTTTCAACGGAGAGATTCATCACCACACGTTACAAGACGCGTAGTGAGGACAACAGCAACAAGTCATTATAGTCTACGAAAACTTCATGGATCAGCTAACAAAGAGATCATAAAGAGAGCATTAACACCACCAGCTCGTCGACCAACTTTGCGATGGTTGGATTTTAAACCAACTCCAAGTCGACTTTGTAACATGTCTGCAGCATAGTTGTAGCTACTTGGATGTACAAAAGAAACTCAATATAACAGTTTTTTTATTTGTTTACTCTATAGTCTATAATATCCAATATATTATCATCAAAAATCAAACGTTTCATTTGTTCTGTTTTACAAGAAGCAGCATTCATTTTTTGGTACTAATAAATGACGGGCAACGAAGAATGACATGTTGAATTTTCAAAAAAATTGGGGATATAATAAGGTTAGTTATCCTGTGATGGTAAAACGAGGCGGTCTTGTCCTTCCACCAGTTTTGCAGATCGAATTATGTCACCAGTTTTGATTTGAGGAAGGATATCTCTCCCAACAGTTGTATATCTGTGAATCATAACACGAGTTATCATTAGAACGACTACAATCACCGATTTGTTGAAGATACAATAGGTTTTCATAGATAGCAGAGTTGCAAGATTCCATACCCGAAAACTGAAAATTGACCCTCATCAAATGACAATCCTCCCAAGCCAGACTGAGAAACAACATATTGATTGGATAAGTTAGGTGGCGAAGAAAAGAGTAACAAGAAGAAACGAAAGAATAGTCTATACTGCTGAATTGCTACTTACATTTCTCTTATCGTAAAGGTAGAAGAAGAACTGACTTGGTGATGAATTCTCATCTGATACATCACTATGAGCCATTGCAACTGCACCATAAACGGATAATGGAAGCACAGGCAGCTCCCCATCCTTCCGTAACCAAAGGAATAAACCATAAGCACAAGCACAAGCACAAGCACAAGCACAAGCACAACAGAAATAAACGCCAAAGATCGGTCTGTTATTATCCATGAAACATGTGGATACCTGAATGCTTAATGTTGTTCTGTAAAGAGGCTCAAATTGTCCGGCTGGCTTGATTTCCAAGGGAACACTGTACCCGGTGGTCTTACCCACCTCGCTGTCTGAAAGAATTGCTTGGTTTGCACAAGTTAGCTTCATCCCATCATATGCCCCATCAACCACCTAAAGAATTATAGATTTGTTGTTACAAGACAGAAATTTCTGAATTAGATCAGAGTGAAATAGTAGCTCGAAACATCAGAGACTGCTAGTTGTACTCATCTTTGGTCAGCAAGTATACCATAATCACGAAATGCAAAAATTATTTCCCATGCCTTCATTGTGTAAACATGACTCCAGAAGACATCACAATGATGGTTTTCCATATTTTAGCACATGCAGTGGCAAGTTAATAATCTAGAGCTACGGAAAGGAAACTATAAACACATACTCTTCAAGTAAAGTAGTTATCAGGGCCCAGCAAAAAAGATGTGGGAAATGAAAGAAGAAAAAGCCACCTTTACGTGTCGAACATGCTTCATGTGAAGAAATACCTGAAGTATGATCAATTTGTCTAACGAAAGTAGGAAGTCATCCTCAAAGGGGAAAGAAGGGAGAAATTATTGGAAGTTGTTAAGAGTCCCACATCAGTGTGGGATTGAGTTGTTTTCCTCCTTATATGGTCGTGGGCAATCCTTACTTCATGCCCTAGCTTTTGTAGTTGAGTTAAATCCAAAGTTCATTTCTTAATTACTGAATATTAGAATGAAGTGGGCCCAAAATGGACCACAATTATATTGAGGATCATGTGGCCAACCCTAACTAGTTTGAGATTGAGGCATAGTTATTGTTTTTGTTGCATAATGAGTACTTACAAGGATGATGTGAGATTTCACTACCTTACCAGTTTTGCGAAGTTTCCTGCAGTCAGTGGTGCTGAAAACCCATCTATAACAACCTGCATCATGTCATTATACAGTTAATACTTTTGTGTTCGATGAAATATCTATCTGAAGAATATTAGAAGTTATAATAGTAGAATA